CAGTCAAACAATATAACTCATTGTGTATCCAAAAGTGTGCAGTTGGAGACTAAATTTTAAATATATATATGCAAACATCAAAGGAACTTCTTGAAGCTTTAAAAAATCATATAGTTGGAACCTATAATGATGGAAAAAAAGCTATAAAAATAATTTGGAGTGCACTTCTTTACCATGCAACAAATTATTTATAGATGGAAGGCCTTTCGTATAATGGCATCACAATCTAGAAGTGACTATCCACAAAAAATAACAGCAAGAGAAAGTCGACATCTAGTTTGGCAAGCTCAGGAAATTCCTAACAGGAACTTTGAGGTTCTCCAATGCTCACTAGCCGATATTGGAATCAATGTGCATGCATCTATAGTGTGACAGAATCTGTACAATGTCAATCTTCATAGCAGAATGCCTAGAAAAGGCCACTGCTTATGAAATAGCACAAGTATGCTCACCTAGAGCTTATATTAATAAGCTAGAAAGATTCTGGCAAAAAGTTTTACAGTTGGATGAGACCAAACTAGAGATTTTGGGGCAGAACAATCTGTGACTTATCTGGTGAGCTTCCTAATATTTTTTTTGAAGAGAAGAATTTGATACCAACCATTTACCATGGTGGTGATATTATTATGATTTGGGAGTTTTATGCTGTAGTTGAGACAGGCAAAATATTATGCATTGATGGCACAAAATATCAAGCAATTTTGAATGAAAGTGTCTTGTCCTCAGTTCCAAAGTTGGGTTTAGATCAAGGCTAGAACTTCCAATTGGACAATGATCTGAAGCATCAAAGCAATTCCATAAAAGAATGGGAGAGATTTCATGTCTTGGAATGGCCTAGTCAAAGTCCTTATCTAAAGCCAATTGAAAATGTTATTCAAGTTAAATTTGACAGTGCCAGCAAGAAACACAGGTAAAATCAAGCAATTGTGGGAATTTTGCCAAGGAGAATGGTCAAAAATCAGCACTCGCTACTGCAAGAAACTTCTTAAAGATTATAGAAAAAGACTGGTTGACATTGTAACTCCAAAATGAGCAGTCACCAAATATAAAATGTTAGGGTTCACTTACTTTTGCTCATCTTGATTTTTAATTTTTAATTAATATTTTTATTCCTGCTTGATAATATTTTTTTTTAAAAATTGTTGTAATTCATTTAATAAAGGTTTTCCTGAATGAATATAGGGTTTAATTAAGATTTGTTGATCATCTGGAAAAAAGAGATTAGTTTTTAAAAATTTTATCTTTTCGGTTCACTTATTTATATATATATATACAATTTTTTTTCTGAAATGCATACAAAAACCTTTTATTACTTTCACATATGCTTATTGCACTGTATTTTGTATATGATTTGTTAATAATTTATATAATTTCTGTGGTGGGGCTGATAATGTCGTTTTAACACCCAAAAAAATTTACATATAAAAAAGGAAATACATTCAAACAAGGTCGGTGCATCCCAAAACAACTCACAAGTAAACCTTTCCAGTGCTTAAAATATATTGATGACAAATACTTAAAATATGATATATATATATATATATACACTACCGTGAAAATATTTGGGTTACCCTGCATTTCTTTAAAAAAACACTTTAAAATGAGATATTTTTTGTATTCTTTTAAAGTAAAAATAACCTTTCAATAAGTACAATGTATTTGCTTTTATTTTTCCATCTTTCTACATGTTCCTCTTACTACCAAAAAATTCAAATTTAGATTCATCTGTCCACAAGACAGTTTGCTAAATTATAAATATTTTGGAAGATAAACATATTTTGTTTTCACCATTAATCCCTCAGTAGATTTTTGGAGATAAACAACATTTTTAACTAAATTAAATGTTAATAAAGGTTTTAAATCTGACTAATGTTGTAAACAAAATATATATTTAGCCGTCTCTGTTTGAAGAAGTAAAGATTGTCCCATTACGACAGTATTTTCATAGGTTTATTTTCTAATTTTCAAGTAATTTACACAAAATGGCAAAATCAAAGCAGCTAAGCATTGAGGTGAGGGAACAGATTGAAACGCTTGTTTCAGTGAAAAGTTGCCAAGAAGTTGAAGATTTTCTAAACATGGGGTGCGATATTCTTTACAAAGGTTGTTAAAAACAGGTGAAAATGTTGAAAGATAAACACTCAATTATTAAGAGCAAAAGAAATAGAAGGAAAATTGCTCTGCCTACAAAGAAAAATGTGCAAATCTCAATTCAACTGTCCACAAATACATTTTGCTAAATTATGAATATTTTGCATGAGAAAAATTGTATTTTGTTTTTCACCATTAATTCCTCAGTAGGCTTTCAACTAAATTAAATCTTTTTATAGGTTCTAAATGTTAACTTATCACTGACTAATGTTGTAAACAAAACATATGTAGCAGTCTTTATATAAAGAAAAAAGATTGTACCTATTTGTCAAAATAAAAGTAAATACAGTGTAGGTACTTTAATTTTATCTTTTAATTTAAAAAAATACAAAAATATCTCATTATAATGCATTTTTTTTAAAAAGAAATCCAGGATATCCACAAATGTTTCGCTCGTAGTGTATATATAAAATGTCCATTCAGGACATAGATGATAATAGCTCACCATCAATTTTCTTTCTTTATTAACTGTGAACAGCTTATGTCATATAGTGGATTTGTTTCCCATTGCCTTCTCCACAGTTTGAAATTTAGATTTTTCCTTCTGTTAGACTGGTTGCCACTAAAAGCTAGAGATCTCAGTTTACCCTACTATTTAATCCATAGCTGGAGGGATAGGAATCAGATCTATACCTTTTCCAAGAGCATTTCTGTGAAAGTGAATGCAGCAGTCTAGAGTGGAATTTGAACTAGGTTCCACTGATAGGTTGATGACTTTGAATAAAGCACCTGTGTATTTAATGAGAGTCCAATCCTCCTCATCATTATCATCATCATAATCATTAATTATTTAGGGTCTGCTTCAGAACTAGATTTTCCATGACATTTGTCACTATTATTTTTTGTCTTGTTTTACAAACAAACCACTTTATTTCATCTTTGAACATTTGTGATTTGAACACTGGTTGCATGGTTGGAATGCTCACATTATATATATATATATATATATATATATATATATATATATATATATATATATTAGGTTTATTTATTTTGGTAGCAATTTTTCATTTAAAAATACTTTGTGTATTTTTTCTATAATTCAGATCACTTTCTTGGTTTCTGATCAAATGTGAAATATAAATTGTCTAATGTCTGAGTACTTTCAGCTTTCAGCCATTATCAAAGACATTTTGGTTTTTGTCCTATGTCAGTTTCATCATTTTTCAAATATCCTGTGTTCATGTGGCATTTCACTTTTTTGTAAACTATTGTGTCTTCATTTATTACTTCAGGTTGTTAGTTTCATCATTTTTTAAATATTGTGTCTACACATGTCAATTTGTATTGTTATGTCAATTTTTATTTATAAAATGAATTTATTATATTTGTTCCTAAATTTGGTAAAATGTTAATCATGTTTGGTTCTTATGCTTAGAGAAAATGGAAACAAAAAGGATCCTTATACTTAACATCGGAAAGAGGCATTTGACATTTCTAAATATTCCAACATATTTATTTCTAATATTTAAAAGCAACCTTCTCAATGTGTAGTTATGGCTGCTATTTATTTGTATTTCATTCCCTCCACCTGGTGAGGCTAATGATAATGGTAATATTAGCTGTTTCCTTATAAGTAAATTTTTGGCAATCATTATCTAAACCACCATTGCTACTTTCTATTGAAATTTATAAAATCTTTCTGGTAAAACAATGTTTTTTTCAAGAAAATAGGTTTTTAAAGTTCAGTATGTTATCAGCCCTTCCTGTATTGATGGGGGTTTCCTACCTTGCCTTTTGTTTGAAGTTGTGTGGTACGTCAACAACTTGATTATGTTATTTTATCTTTGAGTTATATGTACTATCTATTTTAGTTGTTGCTGTTGTTGGAAGTCCTCAAGTGATGTGGTTTTTGTTATCTGGTACAGTTCTTTATTTGTGATTGTGTAGCACCAGTCCATGAGGTTTGAAGAACGATGGTCCTTGCTAAGGTATACAGGTTTCATTCGGTCGAAGCCATTTTTAACCATTGATCTGAGAAAATGATTGCATACAGCTAACAGTTTAGATCTTTCTGAATAAAATGGTCACCAAGCATGACATCCATAGGAAAGTCTTGATCTGACATGGCTATTTAAGAACATAACTTGGATTTTCAGATTAATGTTTTGTTTTTTTGTAGCAATTTGCAGTGTTGGCCAAAACTACCCTTAAAATTAAAACTGCCTCTGAAAAATTTATTCAATTTCTTTTTCTCTTATACTAAATTTGTTATAACTGATCAGTACACTGAGGTATTTGAAGTATTTGGTATTTACTAATTCCACATCTTGAATTTTTATGATGGATATCAGGAGAGGGGCCATCACTATTTTTATTACAATTTCAGATCATAGTTTCTGTTTGGAAAAGTTTACCTTGATTCATGTTTCTTAGAAGACTTCATTGAGGATGTTGATTTCTATTTAAGATCATTCTTCTCCTAACTATAAATACCTACATCATCAACATACCACCCACTCCCATCATCAGTACATTGACCTCAGGAGGGAAAGCAGGACTGTTGTCTTCTGTTGGGATGTGGTATGGAATCCTTAAGTGATCAGTGCCCCTCTCTTCATATCTGTACTTGTATATGTTCAAGGCATAATCTAGGAAAAGATCTAGACAGTCAGAATTTATATGGTAGTTTCTAATGGATGAAAAGCGGAAGTCTATTGATGTGGTTATATGTTTCTGTAAGGTTGACATAGCAGGTATAAAATTGTATATTGGAGGGAATGCAATTTCCTGAGGTAGTTTGATGGCACATAAGTGGTTAGAATGTTTGCCTTCTGACCATAAGACCCGGATTCAAATCCCATCAATTTGTCAGGAAGGAGACTTCCTGATGTTACTGGATTGGAGGATGTTTCAGTTTCCATATGATCACCAAAGTTAAGCAGCATTGAGCCTGATTAGTACAAGATGGGTGACTGCTTGGGAATACCAGGTCCTGTAAGTTTGGATGTGTCAGTGGTGCAATGGATAATCGCTCAGAATTGTTAATAGGACAGCTAAGTTTCAATTCCATGCAAAAATACCCTTGGGAAAGGAATGAATCCACCTCTTCTCCCCCCAGCTATGAGTTAATTAATATGACTTTTATCACTATTTTATATGCATTACTAATTCCAGACATCTTTTATGAAATTGAAGAAACTTGTTATTGATTTTTGGGAGAAGATAAGCTATTTTCAAAAGTTCCTCTTCAGTGTTAAATGATTCTTTATTATTCATTTTTTATATTTCTCTTCAGTATTTTGTAATAACTGGATGCATATTGGTATATATTCTTTTTCGATCTAAGCACGTTTTAGCTTCATATGATAATGGTTGAAATGTAACACAAAGTTTTTTTTGAGACTAGGACATTACTTCAGTGTTATGATTTCTCACTTTTCTTCATATTTCAACACATTGTCGAAACTTGGTTTCATTAAATTCATTTGCATTTTTTCAGAAATATTTGCTTTCTCTGTCCTTTAACTATTTCTTCTTTATTTTTTAGTCAATTGTTTAGTATTTTCCTTTTCATTTTTCTCCCTCTTCTGTTTCTTTCTTGTATAAATCTTTTCAACACAAGATTGTCGTCCCACAGGAGTATCTTTTTCCTTCTGGGTGCTCTCGTGATGGTTTCATATGATTCATCTAATGATAATCTGATAATATTATTTGCTTCCTCTATGTTCTTTTGGTCAAGATGCAGGCACATCAATTTCAAGTCTACTTTATTAAAGAATTCTGTTCTTTCTCTTTCATTTTTAAGGGCTTCGATATTTTATACCTAGATGTCTTTTATGCAACGTGACCTATTTTCCTGGCCAAGGTTGTCAATTTAGTTACAAGTAGTCTGTGGTTAGACTCAAAGTAAAAATTTTATACTCACAAATTGCCTTTGCCAAGAGACCGAGATGTGGAAGTCAATAATCTTTTTCTTAATTGACTTAATCATTATTATCAGATAAATGGCAAGTTAATCAGCACTGCAATGTTGTGGCTGTGTAACCAATGATGGATTGTTTGAACGAATATTATTATTATCATTAGAAATGAAATCCATGTCTTTTTAACGTATAAAATACATAAAATATATATAATATATATATATATATATATATATACAAAAAATATATATATATATATATATATATATATATATATATATATATATATATAATAAAAATACTGACCATATAAATATTTTTTGGAAGATATAAAGATAGTATTAAGAAATGAATCCATATATATATATATATAGGAATAGTATATATACCAAACTAAATAAATATATACCTATTCTTTGTTCAATACATTTTGTTAACGTACATTTTTGTTAACATGCTTATTTAAGGTCAACAATATTATATATTTAATAATAATAATAAACGGTATACTATATTCAGGTCAACATTCAGGTCTGATGATTTCATTTAACATAAAAATGTCCATTTTTATAAATTTATATATTTATATGTGTGTATATATATATATATATATATATATATATATATATATATATATACACTGACTGTGACCAACTCCCAAAGACCCCAATGGAGGAATAGGCAAAGATCTACATGACCTCAACGACCAAACTGATGGAAGATAAGAGCACCAGTCGGAGCCTTGTTACCAAGGTGGACCTTGACAGACCAAGCATCCATGAGCACCATGCAACAAGGTTTGCTAGATCTTGCCTGTCTCAATTCCCTTTTGACCATGATGGAGGCACTTCTAGCCAAGGGTCTGGGCTTCTCCATCATGCAGAGTTGTCCTCCAAAATCAAATTCATGAGAATAGTCTTGACAAAAACACTTCAGTAGTAGGCTTGGCCTTCACAGCCATGTCACTGCCACTTGAGGGCAGAAAGTGAAGAGGATGGGGACCCAAATGCTTGGATCCAAGCAGATGCTGACTAATACTTATATATATATATATATATATATATGAAGAAATATAGTTTTAAGTCTGCTATGGGATAAAGTGGTCAATATCAGAGATAGAGCGTATGTAAATATAAAAGTGAACATTAGAGCGAACATTCAGAGGTGACAGGCTGTTTCATGCTCGAGGCAATTGTTAGGCATCTAGCATGAAATAGCCTGTTGCCTCTGAGTGTTCACTTCAATGTTCACTTTTTTATATATATATATATATATATATATATATATATAATCAAGGAAAACCTTAAAAATCCATCTCAGTTATAATTTATTTCATGAGTAATTTTATATTCATTTCTTCAGACTTCAGAAAGATGAAATGTGTCACAAGTAAACTTTTTACACTTTGTCATACAATTTCCCCAATACCGTTCTTGATATATAGAAATATATATCATTATCTCATATATATATATATATATATATATATATATTTGTGCAGCAATTTTCTCTTTTATACAAGTTTTGTTAAAGATGAGTGAAAAGATAGTGTGATTAAGCTTTTATCTAATGTTTCTTGTGTTTGTACAAATGTTTTCTTTTCTGGAAACAAAGTGTGTAAAAACTGTCCAAAATTTCTGCATATCCCAACACTTTTGGCTCTATTTTTAGCCATTATCAAGGAGGATTTTTATTTTTAATTTTTGAATGAATGTGTGGATTTTTTTTATGTATGTGTTTGAAGTTATAAGAATGTTTTATTTTCCAAACACAGTCAGTGGCTGTGTTCGTAGTTAATGTTATTGTTATATATATATATATATATATATATATATATATATATATATATATATATATATTAATAGATACATATACCTATGTTTTAGTGCAACTTAAAGTTCCATGGTTTCCCAAGATGTCAGGTATGTGTGGCAAATGGGCCACTTATTACAGTTGTTTTTTTTTAAATACTGGGTCCCATGGGAGGAAGGCTAAATTATGTACAGATGAAAACTCAAAGTTAATATTGTTTTTCCAAAATTAAATTTAGATTAAGATTTAAGTTAAAAAATTCTAAAGTGTAGATAGACAAAGTAAACGGTGAGAAATAATTTTTAAAAATTTAAAGAAAAGAGGAACGCCATGTAACCTATTACATATTAATAGATACTTAAATGGCTAAAGTTGGCTAATAAGTATTTAAACTAAAATATTTAATTTTTTATATATTAATAGAGAAAAAAAGTGTAATTGTTGAAAAAAAGTACCTTTGCACTAAATCATAAACATATGAATAAAGGTGTTATTTGTAAGGCTAGCATTAAACATAATGGCGAGACTAAGTTTTATTTTGGTTCTACTGCAAACTACTGGAAAGCCCAGTATTATCATTATAAAATTACTCTTACCAATAAACAATATTCAAATGACACAGCACTTCAAAAATTTTACTGGAAATTCAAAACAAATGACTACACATTGGTAGTGATGTAATGAATATGCATACACCTGGGTTCCCCCTCACAATAATATGATTGGCTGGTGTCAGCCATAAATACAGACTGATGTGGAGGTACAAGACAACACCTATTGGACGCCTATTGGCAACGCCTATTGTCTTAACCCATTGCCTACGCCTATTGCCTACCACTACAACAAGGACCAGTCCATTACGGTTACCTGCTAGATTGTCCTACTCGGTTACAGTAGTCCAAAACCACTTTGCTACTTCGACATATCAGGTAGTAAATTGGAATTTCATTGCCAAAACTACACTCTTTTTCACTCACGGCAATCAATGTAACCTGTGTTTGCTGGAAAAAAAGATTCATTCTCAAAAATATTAATGACCCTAATCTGCTGAACAAATATAATGAGCACATAATCTTGCACCCATTAAAAAGCTCTCTCTTAAAGTATTTTGATTCTGGATAAATCTTTTTATCCTACTTTTAAATACTTATTACCACCTTTAACCATTTAAGCTTCTATTAATACGTAACGAGTTACACGACATTCCACTTTTCTTTCTTTATTTTTTTTATTATTTCTCCCTTTTTACCTTCTCTGTCTATCTACACTTTTTATTTTTTATTTTTTTAATTTATATCATAATATATTAAACTGTAGCTTTATATACCATGAAGTGTTACTTCCTTGAAACATAGAGATTATTTATAAACAATATACAATCCACTGCTTTTTGTTTCGCAATGGAAAAACGTATACCATATAAACTTCACACTAACTGTAATGACAGAAGTATGCAGGTGTAGGCTTTAAGAAAGCGTTTTCAACTGAGTATATAATGTTTTCTTATAGTATCCTTTTATAGTCCCAGTAAACAGAAATAGCACTCTCAAAGAGGAGAGTAACAAAACAAGGGGAGACCACTCTTGATTATTCATAACACTTACATCACCTTTTTTTTCCCAATGGAAAAACATGTACCATATAAGCTTTAAGCTTGCATCAATTTTTTTTTGCTTTGTTTTTCCCAACATTTCCCGCCATACACTCTATATTTTAAATTTACACCCCAATAATATATTGGATTTATATTAACTTTGAGTTTTGAATGTGAATATAATTTAGCATTCCTCCCATCCTGCACACATACATATACATTAATAGTGTGGCCACCTTGGAGTGGTGTGATGGTTAACAAGCTTGACCCAGTATTTTTTTAAAAAAAACTGTAATAAGTGGCACATTTGCCATACATGCCTGATAACTTGCAAAACCATGAAGCTTTATATTCACACACACACACACACACACACATACATATATAATTTAAATAAAAACAGACCACTTTAAGGTTCCATGTAATAAATTAAATGTGTCAATGTCTGCTAACTAACTCATGTCTTCTCTCTCCCACCTCATTTCTTCACTTAATTTTAATTACAATGTTAATGTAATGTTAATTTACATGTTTAATACGGCCCATCAAAAATGTGTAAATTTCTTTTCATTTTTTGTTTCAACTTTTGGAAGTAAAGTCTGATGATCGGCAATCCTTTAAAAGGGCTGTGGTGAAATATTTTATTACATGGAACCTTAAAGTGGTCT